TCTGTTGTTTAACATTTGTTAATGTCAGGACTGTTATTGTTGTTAGTGTGTGGCTGTCGTTTGGCTGTTCGGCTGTTCATGTTATGTTAATGTGACTCTTTGCCATAGGGTTTCATTCGTCGTTGTTTTGGTTCATGTGGTCACTTTTTTTGCAGTTTAACGGTGTTTTAGCACAAAGAGATTATCTTTACACTCTGGTGCCATCACAGTACTGGTCTTGAAATGTGACGAAGAAGAATGTTTTTCAAGGTAGTATCAAGCTTTTTGTTATCTAACCGCTCAAAAGTAACTTATCAACTTCTTGGCTTTCGCATTTTTAGAATCACTTTTATATATTTTATTTCAAAAATTTGCTATCTAAAAAGAGAGAGAGGACGATGAATGAACGTTAAAAAGTTTGCATGTGCTGATTGTTCTGTCTGTATGTCTATTTCTTTCTGTGTCTGTATGTCTCTCTCTCTCTCTCTCTCTCTCTCTCTCTCTCTCTCTCTTTCAGTGTCTGTTTGTCGCTTTCTTTTTTCTTCCTCTCTGGGAATGTATGTGTGTGTGTTTGTTTGTTTGTTTGTGTGTGTGTGTTTGTGTGCTGTGTGGTTGTGTGTGTGTTGATAAACTGGGTTCATCCTCATTCGTCATGTCGTCAATTATAAGCCAACAGAAATAGAAGGTTTAATTCCTCCTTCAAAACAAATTCTCTTCCCCGTCTCTTATTACTAAAATGTTTTTATGCTAAATACAGTCTCACACGCACACACACACACACACACAAACATGCAAACACACACACACATAAACGAACACACACACACACACATACAAACACACACGTAGTGCCAGATAAATTCAGCGCACATAAATCGTTCAACGAGTGATCACATATCAAGAGTAGCTGTCTTCTTATCGCATTGCTTGCTACTCGTACAACATTGAAATGAAATTATGCATTACCATCGTCATAATTGAAACAATTGAGAAACAAACAAGCAAGATATATATATCAGATACATTAATAGTATCAGATATATCATTATATCAGAGTCATTAACAGTATCAGGTATATCAATATATCAGATACATTAACAGTATCAGATATATCATTATATCAGAGTCATTAACAGTATCAGGTATATCAATATATCAGATACATTAACAGTATCAGATATATCAATAGCCAGAGATAGCCAGGATCATGATATCAACGGTAATAAAAAGATACATCGTCAATTAATATCATTACTGTTATTTTATTAGTCCATGATGATTATCTATCTCATCATCATCATAATTATCTTCTTCTTCCTCTTCTTCATCATCATTTATTATTATTATTATTATTATTGTTATTATTATTACCATTTTATTATTATCTAACCATCATCATCTTCTTCATCATCATCATCATTTTAATTGTTATTATTATTATCATCATCATTAATATTATTGTTGTTATTATTATTATTATTATTATTATTATTGTTGTTATTATTATTGTTAATATTATTGCCTATGAACATCTATTCGTACAAAAATTCACCCTCAGCATAACAATTCTATGGCGTCGAAATAATAATAATAATAATAATAATAATAATAATAATAATAATAATAATAATAATAATAATATATAAAAATAATGATAACGATACAATAATAATGATGATGGTGATGATAAGGATATTAATAATAATAACAGTAATAATAATAAATAATAATAATCATGATTATGATAATGATAATAATAATAATCATGATAATAATAATAATAAATATTAATAATAAATTATTTATATAGCGCTTAATGTCAAGGGCGCCTAAATAATTACGATACGAAAACAAGTGATGATTAGTATTAACGGTGATTGAGGAGGCTGATAAGTCGAAAAAAAACGTGATGCAGTTATCAAAGTTGTGCGAAAACAAGTGTATCTGCTAATACAATACAATTTAATGCAATACAATACAATACAATACCGTACAAAACAATACAATACATCTCAATACAATACTGTACAGTACAGTGCAATACATTACAATACAACACAATACATTACAATACAATACAATATAATACCGTATAATACAATACAATAAAATACAATACATTACTATTCAATACAGTGCAATACATTACAATATAATACAATACAATACATTACGTTACAATACAATACAATACCGTACAACACAATACAATAAAATAAAATACCGTACAATACAATGCAATACATTACATTAAAATACAATACAATACAGTACAACACAATACAACACATTACATTACAATACAATACATTACAATACAATAGTACCGTACAATACAATACGATGCAACATAATACAATACAAAACAGTAGAAAACATCTATCCTTCCATTAATTTGATAAATTTCAGTTGTTAAAACATGGCAACCTCGCTTTTCCAGTAAAACTTCTCAAACAACTTAGTTTTTGACATGGATATATATAATATATTATAATATAATATAATGTAATGTAATATAATA